GCTGATATCAGTCTGTCAGGATTAAGTATTTTATTAGTCAATAAATTTTATCGATTTAGATTATCGGTGGAAGAAATATGTAATGGCATTATTTTACCTCTAACTTAACTCTTTTCTTCCATGTTTTATTTAAACGTAAATTTTGTTTAAATCTTGAGTTCATTTTTTACGTTTTGTTCTTTAGGGGGGGCAGGAAGACTTGGATCCCTAAAAATCAAGTCCGAGTCTTCCTTCTTTCATAAAAACAGCGAACTAACATGTTTCCGATTTCTGTCAATTAGTGACATCTTGAATACAAAAAATTTATATAAATTATTTTTTTAATTATATGTTCTTACACCGTACTCAATTGTATGGATTGTATCGATAGTATGGATGTACATATACATATAAACCATGTTAGTTAGACATTTAAAAGTAAAACTGTCAGTGAACAAAATTCCTGTTTTACAACTTCATTAGTACAAGTACAACATAGAATACCTAAAACACCTATATCGTACTAAAATCAACTTCAACATAAAACTGTACATTACGTACGTTTCAAATAAAACGTTTATCAGACCATCCGGTTCTAATATAAATAATCGGACACGTTTTCAGAATAAGTATCGCACCACTAAAACATTAATAAAATCGATCCAAAAAAGAATTTTACAGACTAGAATAACAATCAACCTCTTTAATCAAAACCTATCTGTTTTCAAATACTGGCACGTTACAATTAAATCTAGGAACACTTGAAAATGGAACTCACAAACTTTTTTTCACGGACGTGGCAAAGGCGCGAAGCACACGCGAGCCGGAGGACGGCTGTGAGGTCACTGAGGAGAGTTCTTATCAAACCGTTGACTATGTAAACGCGGAAACATATTGAGTATACAATACAATGAATGACGTCAGCTATATAGAGTGCACGTGCGATCAACACATGCTAGTCTTGATCTAGCGTGCTCGAAGCCATAAAGAGCTATTTTCCCACAAGACATTTGTGGTTTTCCAAGAATATACAATGGTCTTCTTGCAAATACATACATATTTTCAATAAACCAAATTGTCATGTTTATGTTTTTGTGTAACTTTTATTTCTCGTTTTGGAAAATGATTAGATCACTCCTGTAGGTCACGTAGTGTGGCGTCCTTTTCCTAGATGGGGTGATGATACCCGCAAGAAGGCTGGAAAGAAGAGTCGAAAATCGACCGCATGTTTCAAATATTCTTCTCAAGTCCACTGCTACATATGAGCAGGAATCGTGTGGGACGATTTCGGATTGTGACCATGATATTGTCAGCAATTTTATTGTGATAAAAAACAGTTTTAATAACGGGTCAGAAAATTCATAAGGCAACTGGTTTTTAGGGAGAGATTGGGCAGCGAAAATTATTTTCTACAATGTCCACCTGGGTGGCTACCCCGGTATAGTACTGAGCCCTTTGAATATTATAGAGATTCCGAAGCCATGCTTCATTCTTCTCTAGTAATATCTTCTAATTATTTTTCATTGCGCCGAACTGTTTCGGTGTATTCACGGTGGTATCTACTGTCGATCATAGCTTAAACGTTTTGCAGCGGTTCAGGGGGATTGGGTGGGATTTTCCCAAAAACACCCACACCGGTATTGGCATTTACAAACATAAATGACGTACACATCACACCCAGACCCGGAAACAGAATGTGCGGATCACAAAGAGTTGATCCTTTCGGAAATCGATCATTTAAGATCATTATAATAACTCTGTCTATGAAAAGTAAAATGCTATTAAGACAAGAACTTATACGTGGACGAGATTGCAAGCGCAATAAGGTATCCTGACCTCGGCCCGGAGCAGAAGGAACGGGGAGGTTCTCAGTCAGTAAGTAGGTGTCTGATATACATTCTCGCCCTAACCAAGGCGTCAGACTTCAACGGAACATTAAAACGTAAAAAGAACGTGTCCCTAACGTGTAAAATCATTCGTTGTATGGTAACGTATCCCCAGTATGTCGTCCGGAATAGTATTACATGTAGATTACACTATCAGCACTTATATCAACTTGTTAGCTGCGTATTGTGACATTGCCCGTTGTTCTCTACCATGATTGATATGATTTTAATAGTTTTATCTTCATTTCAAGACGTGAATTTAGAGAATGTGTTTTAAATAATGTATTGTTGAGGTTTTAAAGCATAATAATACAGTTTTGAAAGAGTAAGGACGGAGTTAATTGCTTGTTCTTTTTGAATTTATATTTTGGAACGAGCACCTAGCTTCACTGACGATCAGACTGACGGACTATTATTCTGCATGTGGTTTAGTTGGAATAAATGTTTTTTGACTTTATATAAAATGTCGTTGAGCAACACCAGCTGTGCGCTGCGAAACAAAATCACAAAACAGTTTTTTTATGAGAAAGAATAAAAATATATTGCTTGATGGTATGGTAAGCAATCCTTTGTAAGTCCTTTGCCGGGCTTTTGAAGTTTGGAGATGGGGGTAGATTGGCCTTCTAACAACTACACTCATGCGGCACAACCCGCATAAAGTAAGTTTTTTTTTTCGCTGCGGTTTTCAGAGCCAGCTTTCAGCAGGCCGGCCGTGCCCAAGCATGGCTCTCCCACGTGTAATGATGGTATACTTAGGAAAAAAAGTACCTACGATAATACATACATACATATATGGAAATGTAACAAAATAGACTCAATAAATAATATATATCTATCTCATATGACACACATTTCTCACGATTGTTAATTTTTAATTGAAGTTAAGCAACACGATTGGATTAAAAATTTAGTGCAATCGCAAGACTTCTTCCCACATTTAATTATAAGTAGGTACTTTTTCTTCTTCTTCTTATATGTATATAAATGAATTGCTATTCGTTGGTCTCGCTAAAACTCGGAAACTGCTAGACCAATTTGTTAAAAATTGGTCTTGAAATACTCGTTGAAATCCAGAGAAGGTGTAAGGTTTAAAACGTCAGAAAACATTAGTTGGTTTTGAGGCGGTAAAAAGTTGGACGGGTCAGCTAGTCAAACATACCTAAATGAACCTATAGATTAACCACGAAATGTAGAAAAAATTTACTGCACCAAACAGACTGAACCTATCACAAAGAGTGGAAAATTATTAAACAGTTGTTGCAAGATCAGCAAGCAAGTGCACACCGCGACATATAAAGTTACTTTAAACATCATAAATGATAAGAATCGCAATCAGACATGGTGTAATAGTGATCAAAAGAAGAATAGACTAACGGAGTGACAGATTCGTAGAAAAAGAGAGATTTTCTTGGAACTAGATAGCATAGACAGCAGGAGTTACCAGTCATCTCATCAATTCAACCAAGTTACAAGGAGCCCATGATCGAAATAGTGAGCTCTTTGCTTAGGCTTGCGAATAACCAGTAGCCACACAAACACTATGTGGCGCTTTTAACTAGTACTTTCAGAACTTTCATCAAGACAATCCAACAAAAACATCAGGTGTTTTTACAAGCCAGACCAGACTACATGCCATTACTAAATAAAACATTTCTAAGCAATCACACAGATCTATAAAAGCCTCTTGTTTTTAAAATATATCGTTAGAATTGGTTAGTATCTTGATAAAGTATTTAGATTTCTAAGGATTGAGATAAAATGATGACATCATCTTGAAATAAACATTTTATCTTAACATTATTTAGGTGGGGTATCTGCCGCGTTATGTGTCGATGGTGCGATTCCCGCACAGAACAAGTATTTTGCGATCTACAGACAGTATAAATTGTTGTTCAAAACATAGACCTAAGATGAAGACATATTTATATCCTAGAGTGTGGTGACAGCTTTAAATATAAAATAAAAATTAAATGTCATAAATAATAAAAATTAGTGATTTAAAACTTTAGGAATGATGTAGAGAGATAAAGACTATTAAAATTGAGAATAAGCTCAAATTGCTTATTGCAAGCTAGTGAAATTGGCCCATACATTAATGATATGAGAGTTAGTTAAAAAAACATGAAGAAATATATTAATTATTAGATGTGTCTAACATAAATGCTAGTCAAATAATTATTTATATCCGATGAAAACTGTTGTATGTACTGTGTGTATAGTCTGACTGCCTGTTTTTTATGCATGATTCTTATATTTAGTATACAAGTAGGTAACAGACATAGTAATCACTGCATAGTTACTAAGCCGAGAAATGGTTACAAAAGATGTGGCTTTATTAGGAACCATATAATTTATAGCAACATTGGCTAATGGCTTTGGTTTCTGTACTGCACCAAACCTTTTGTCTGTATTGCTACTGGTACTAGAGAATAGAATAGAATTCATTTTTTGCAGGATGCACGGTACTGAAAGAGCTAAACAATGAAATTTGATGAAATTTCACATTTCGCCATAATGTAGATGGCATGCAAAATGTATCATTTTGAGGGTTCATTGTAATTGTACCAATAAAATATCTATTACATGTACAGAATAATGAAATAATTGATTACCAAATGAACAAAAAATACAAAATAATATGTCAGTACAAAAATTAATTAATTAACACATTAGTCAAGGTATTATAAGATTATACCAAATAACTCAGTGCAATGCAACTGGAATCTGGTTGTTTAGGGTGACCAAACTTTTTAGACAGAACTAGAGGTATCTAAGTAATGTGTAAAGTTCATTTTTGTATCTTCTTCAACAGAAGAAATTGGAATTGGAAACTACACCATTTTTTTTATTTTACAAAATTTTCATTATATTGTAGACACCTCAAGTTTACAAGGATATAGTGTTTAAAAATGCAGAATTTAAAATAAGAACTTAATGTTTTGAAAAAGGAATTGTTGCTGGCTGGAGGCACAAAAAACATACTACATCACAATAATATGTAGTTAATAATAAATTAATAAAATAATAAAAAACAATAACCACAATTCGATCTTTTACTGAAACATAACGTTTCAGGAAAAAAAATACTGATTTATATCCTCTTATCGATAAATAAATTTCAAGATAGGTACTCACTCATATTCAGTGGGCTTCATATTTATTCAGCTCTGATGAACGTTGCGAACGATTCAAGGTCTGTTTACACAGTGTAAAGTGTTCATGGTTCTGAAAAACCATTATACATCATTGTTTACCCGATCTGAACTTCAGCAGTAAGTAGAATAAATAAAGAAGTTTTTTTAAATAAACTTTTATTAAAGATGCTTACATTTGTTTAATCAAAGCGTTGATATGTCTTATTATGATATTTCATAAAGATATTAAAGATTATTCTAGTCAAGAATGCGAATTATTTTGATTTGGTTCGATTTCGATCGCCGTTTTGACAATTAATTAGGTACCGGGCGAACTGCGAGGTGCAGGTGCGAAGGCGGAGCTTTAAAATGTCATGTCAAAGTCAGCAATAAATAACTGTCATTTCATAGAAAAAAAAACATACTTCCAAATGTGATGTTGAAAGAAATTGTTTATAATTACTGTAATTGAAATTGTTAACAATCGTAATAGATTTGCAAAAATAAATAAAATATTTGAGAAACTCATAATAATTAACTTAATAGTATTTCATTTTATTTTTGAACGAGTTCGAGTGTTAAATGCGTTCATTACATCATTGGTTCAGGATCATTATTTCTTTTTAATCTCCTTTTCATAGTTTGTCAATGAAAATCTTAATTGGTACAATACTAAGCAAATTAATCATAAAATTGGATATTAATTAAAAACAGGTTGTTATAAATGTGATTGTCACAAAAAAAACTCAAATAGATTTTTAACTCGTAAAATTCTATAGTTTCAGAACGATAGTTTTAAATGTTGCATGATAAAAAAATGGTTTGGTGTAGAAACTTTAGCTGTTTTTTTTTTAATTATTTAAATCTAAAATAACTAGCTTAATGTACTACAATAGAGACTCCCATTTTGATGTGTTTATAATATGTTGGTCGTTAAACCAAAACCATGAAATTTCCATGTGCATGTTATGTTAAAAGATAGAATAACAAGTATAATTTCAAAATCACGCTAAACGCACTAAACTTCGTGTTGTAATTCCTTAATTGAATAATTTCAAATTCGCATCTGAAGAGATGACGTATACGTAAATTAAGAGATGTATAGTTTATTGTGAGATACATACTATTTGCAGTGTCATGTCTATATGTTAATTCTTTTTCTTAAAGTCGGTCTCTCATGTCTGAGGATCGTTGTCAGCGTCAAGGTAACACCTGAAGCGGATGATTGCCCCCGACGGTTTCGGACTAGCATATCGCTCACCACCGTGAAGTATTCGTAAGACGATACATCTTTCACTTGATCCTTTGTCGTTCTCGGGCTAGGGTCGTCCACGTTTCCACTCCATAAAGAAAGACAGGGAATATCAAGGCTCGTGTCAACCTGATCTTTGTTTTAATGCCAATTCGTCTCTTATTCCAAAATGTTGTTCAAACGGGTCATGGCATAATTAGCCATCCTGATGCGTCTCTTAATCTCGGGGACGCAGCTGCCATCGTTGCAGATTTGGGAGCCAACATAAACGTAGTGGTCTATTATACTTTAAGCTTTCGCGTTGCATATTAATACTTTACTATAGTATGGGATTTAACGCGCACGTCCCTTTTTTTTCTTTTTTGCTTGACGTTTCGGCAGGTTTACGCCTGCCGTGGTCACAAGTAGACTGTTTGTGACTACATGTTACTGTTTATAAGTCTGCTAGGTGTAACCCTGCCATGGTATCACTGCGGTTGAGCCGACCCAATCGTGCCGAAGCTTAGCTCTTCTACACTTATACCTATATTATCCTACACTTATTTATGTAGCTAAATCAAAATAATGTGCACTAAATAAGCGATACTACTAATAACTAACTACAAATTTTATTCAAGATAAAAATTAAAATTCAAGTCGTAGGACTTTCACTCTATTCCCTGTTTATTATTTCGACTACTACTAAACTATGAAAAGAAATTGAAGAGCCAAAAAATGCGAGTCTTTTATTTATAGATTGATTATTTGATTTTAAGTTGTTTGGATATTTTCTTATGTACATTAACATTAAATTATTAATTTTCCTTATGGTTTGGAGCGTAAATAATATTGTTCGGTAAAAACTATTTTTTGACAGATTGGAGCAGATTTTGTTAATACTTTGGCAACACTACCTGGCTATCTCTTTCTCTCCCGTATAGTTCTCAAGGTAGCTGTCCTCACGAATTTTTAGATAAATTTTATGAATTTAAGCGTTTTGTAAGACAAATAATAAGTGTTTCTTTTACAATATTAATTCTGTAATTTGCTTAGGCCAATAATTCATTGTTCACGGTAAAGATTACTTAGATATTTTGTGGTGACAAATCCGTCCTCTCGGTGTCCAACGTTGTTTTGGTTTCTGAAAGTGCGATTTTGATGAGATTATTGCAAAAGTAATACAAAACGCCTAAATGTAATGTGCATGTGTTGATGCGGGCGAGATTGGAAGTGAAAGATTGTTGTTTGAAGTTATAATCGTGAAGTTAAGTTTCCTAACCTATAAGTTGCTAGTGGTGTTCTGTATTGGTGATTGTACGTTGCAGATGAGTACTAAGATCATCAAGGCGAGCGCCGCTGAGCCCGATGTCTTCGAGACATCGATCTCACAGGCCCTGGTTGAGTTGGAGACCAACTCTGACCTGAAGGCGCAACTGAGGGAGCTGTACATTACTAAAGCTAAGGAAATCGAACTTCACAACAAGAAGGTAAGAAAAACTCAATGAACCCTAGAATAATGGCATTCAGCCGTCTGTTTTGATGTTACCCACATGCAAAGTTTTCATGTCACACCTTCCATGTGTAGCTTTTGGTTAGTCATTTATTATTTTGTGGAGCTTCCTGGTTCCTCATATTACTCTTAGAAGCTACATGACACTTCATCTCTCAATCCCTTGATAAATAATCACCAGAATAATATTATAGGCTACTAATAGTGTATGTTTTTCATGAAAGACAGTACCCAAGATTGTGGTGCTAAACACTGTTATAAATACCTGAAGTCAACATAGATGGCTATTTACAGATAGTCCCCAGTACTATTCTTTGTGAATCCCCTCATGGTTTATAAAAAAAAAAATGATTTTAACTTAGACAAAAGTATTCAGTGGCTTACTCCTTTGAACTGTATCAGTTCATAGCATGTCGGTACAAGAATTTAGTTTATACTGACTGAACTCCTAAATACAATTATTATAATGAGATCTTTAACACTAGGAAGACCGAAATTTTGAACTACCTATAAAGACCCGGTGGGGTCAAATGACCCATTCATGGGTTATACCCAAGAAACAAAATTTGGTACTATAAAGGTCCTGAGAACATATTAGAACGTGCTAATTAGTGTACATGATTAGTACTATAATGGTGTTGTAAACATTTACAAAACCCCAATTAGGCCCTAGTATTATCACTGATTTATTGTATAGACATTACATAAAGGCTCTCACTGTGATAAGTCAGCTCTTTAGTTGAAATGTAAAAGTGTCGAGAAACGCAATCTTTAGTACTGAAATAGCCACCAAAACATGTTTATAGTGCTATTTTGCACCGTAAACGATTCCAGTGATCTTTTTTATCACACTGGTGAATATTTTTTTTGTGTTGTGATCGCGAGTCGTGAGTGTTCTTCAAGAAAACAAAATATATCGGTAAGTTATGGTTTATGTCGTTTGCCATTGTTACTTAATATAACACACTATAAAACATGCATGGACCGATGTGGTCTTACTTAACTTGCTCTTGCGAAAATTATTGTATCGATAAAACCATTATGCTGATTTCAAATTTGACAATGCGCTATTATAATTTACGTGTTTTAATTAAATTAAAATTAATAAAATAAGGACTGGTCCCGAATATGGCTGCTATAGTATACATTGGCTTCAGCCGTGCTGCTAATGTGCTATCATGGCAGAAAACAGCAGCCATATTTTTAGCGAAAACGAATTAGGGTTCTTTGTCCAAATATAAAATAAACCTTTTTTTGTCATAATGCTGGAAGTAATTGTACAATTTCGTTTGTTTCAGTGCTTGATCTGCGTCGTATTTGGCAAATTAACGATGGCATATATAATGGATGTGGATTGTTTCCTGAGCAGATATGATTGTTTATTTTTAAATTATATTTGAATGGCCGTGGCAAGAAACACACACACAGAAAGAATGTGCCTGGTTGATTAGGCACTCATTTTGATTATTGAGTTTAGATTGTAAGATTTTTTAATTATGATAATTTTGTACCAAAGGGTAGGTTCTAACTCCTAATTTTTTATATGGTCACGGAGAGAGAGATAACTAACGTGCCTTGTTGATTAGATAGGTATTCAGTTGATTACTGAGTGTGATGAATTTACAGATTTTAATACAGATTTTGATTTGATTTTTTTGTAGTACAGATTTTAATGTTTATTTTTTATTTATAAAAAAGATATGATTATAATGTTGTTAAACAAAAATATGCATAGGTACTAACGCTAATGTCACAATTATTGCGACATTAGCGTATGCATCTTTTTGTTGATAGTTATTCTCAAGAAGGCGAGATTATGCCCGCCGAAGTGTGTTTTTTTCTATAATTGTCATGTTTTTTTTAAATATTAGTTATTGTGATGTCGACTGTTAGTGCCCCTATTTTTCTAGGTTTAGAATATACACATTAAAACACATTTTGCCATAGATCATGTTTATAATTAATAAACAAATAAGAAACATTAAGTCTTTTTTTTAAACACGGAACTAGTTTTCTTTATCATAAAGTGCACATGTGATGTGCAAGTACACTGTCACTGCATAATTGTTCATCTTTATTGCTCTCCTCATCTGAGCATTCCGATGTTGGGGAACTTTGAACAGAGGTGCTCTCCCTCTCATGTTCTTCATCCTTATTCCTGGCTAGAGAAAAAGAAACGTTGCTACAGCCCTGTTGTGGTACAAAACAAATATTTTGTACAGAACCACGTCCTATATTTTCTGGATCCGCTTGACTAGTATTGACATTTGCTTGTTGTATCGACGATAGTGCTTGTGAATTTCGATTTTTACCTTTTTTTATAACTGCCACTCACTTTATACCGACGCAGAGATTTTTAATCCATTATTCCACCTTTATTAGCTTACATTTTTAACCAGATTTCTAAACAGTCGGTAGTGTGTCGCCATTTATGAAATACTAGTCATATAATTGATTCTGAAAAGCTAGTATAGATGTAATTAGTCTATTAATTATTCATTTTAATCCTTTTATGTCACGCTTTAGTGTCATATGAGTAACACAGACTCACTCATAGTGCTATTTATAATGGTTATGTATTATTTAATACTATAGAAGAGTTTTCATGACTTTTACAGAACTAGCCCCATAGCAATACCGAGAGAGCTTTTAAAAAGCTAAAAGGTTACATAATAGTTGTGCAAGGTGCGTTCGTAGTGCCGATTAATCCTGTAATTATGTTTTTGATACTACTACAAAACTAGTACTATAAAAGTAATTTTGACGCATTATTAGTGCAAAATAGATACATGAAAGGGTCGGTAAGGTCTTCAATAGTACTAAATAGTACCATAATCACTTTATTCATATGTATTATAGTGCAAAACTTTAACGATTCTTTTGTATGGTCCTGTAAGCGTTCTAAGAGCTTAATTATAGAACTTAAATGCTCTATAGCTTATAGAATCAAATCGCTTTGTTAAAAACCTTTATAGTACGGGCAGTCATAATGGTTACCATTATAGGCCTACTATAACACTGATTGGTGACAAAACGCCTTGGTTATAGAAGCTATTGTTACTTGGGTAATGTTTTATTCATGTATTATGGTTTTAAGTTTTATTGATTAACATCTTATAGTAAATAAAAGAACTTAATAGTAATTAAACATACATTACGTAATAAAAACAAAAATATTAGGCACATTTTTGACATTTAATTGTTTACATTACAAGAGCCACACAAAAGCTTTTTACAACGAATTTATACGATTTATTGGTTTTATTTCTGCATTTTTGCAAGCGGGTATGCTATTATCAGGCTGTGAAGTAGACGGTGTCATTAGGGAGTGGGAATCTTGGCCAACTAACTCCCTGGCCAAGTCAAGAATGAACTTTTTTCTACTGATTTTTTTCTCGATAGTTTTTTGTACAAAATCCAAGAATCATTTGCTGTCAAATCCAAAATATTATTATAAAACACTTGTCCTGTGTTACAATTAGGTTTTTTGCCATATTTACACTGCTGAAAAAAATATCAGTAGTTACATTTCGACAAGTGGGTCCATTGGTCGCAATACGACCCACTCGCCTGAACTTTGATTTTGTCGACGGCTTTCATTTCTTTCTAAACATATGGGACCTCGACCTCGACCTCTTCTTAGGTTTTGCACTACGTAAAGTCGAGAGCAACTGAATCTGAAACAGTGGAGTAAACGCTAATAAAATGTTTCCTTTTCTCTCAATGTAAAAAAATATTATTTTATTTACATCAATATACAAAATAATATACACTTACTATCAGAATCGGAATATGAGTGGGATCACCATCCCTAAAAGAATCACTATTTTGTGTAATATTGTAAACACTTTCTTGACTTTCTGAGTCTAAATGCAAAATGTGCCTCACTTCTTCAGTCGATTCACAGTCTGATTGATCGTCCGGTAAATTTTGCGACACTTCCAGTATTTTTGAAGGGCAAAGGGAACGATAATGAGGCACCATATTATTATGGCGAGCCATGATATGTCTTTGTTTTGACAAGAATAAAACAAGAAAAAAAATATTTTATTTCAACTACCCATAACACAAGTATATTCCACGAAATGTAACTAGCAAGCACGCAGTGGTGTCAAATGACCACTGCGGTCTCTCTAGGTAGGTGATATTTTTTTAATTAGTATTTATCTTGCTATCGGTATACCCATATCGGAATAACGTAAACAATGACGAAATATTAAAAGTCATAAAACGACAATGAGTTCAGTGCTATGGTTTTAATAATATGTTTGATCAAAAATTTCATTGGGGTCATTTGACCACTCTGGTCTTTCTAGTGTTAATCAATATTGTTATTCTTTCAGTTTACTTTGCCATATGCTGCAGTTATTTGTTTTGGGCTTAGGTTACTATCTAAAATTTAACTCACAGAGAGAGCACTCTCAAAAGTGGTCTTTTTAAATTCCAATTTTTAACCCATCCGTCAAAAGTAAATATGTATGTAATTTTTTTCATTTAGTTAAGCTTGCTGTTCAGCAGCTGTTAAACATACTATGTGCTCGATCATGTTCTCCTGAACAGTGTACTTCACAGACTAAAAACCAATTCGCCCCTAAGGCTACCCACTGACCCATTCCTTCTCCTGCTTTAGGTCAAGTCAGACAGCAACATTATTGCTGTTGATCTGCTTACCCAACTAAACATACTACCTACCTAGACAAGCAAAACATAGTAGACAAGTCAGTAAACATGATTTTAAATATCTCAAGATTTATTTGTTGAATAAACATTATCTGTACAATTTTTGTAGATATGTTTACATTTACTACTACATATACTATTTTGTTGCTTTTGCTATTCATCATAGTTCATCATCACCATCAGCCAGAAAACATCCACTGCTCACGACCAAAGGCCTCCCCTTCATCCTTTACTTTGAATGAAAAGTTGCCACCTGCATCCAATGGCACCCCGTGACTGACAAGTGTTGTCCATACACATATTGTACATACTTATTTAGCTTTAATCATTATTAACCTAACCTTTTATTTACTATTCCAGTCAATCATCATTTACGTGCCCATGCCCAAGCTGAAGGCATTCCAGAAGATCCAGATCAGGCTGGTCCGTGAATTGGAAAAGAAATTCAGCGGCAAACACGTAGTGTTCATCGGAGACCGCAAGATTCTGCCCAAACCCAGCCACAAGACCCGCGTAGCCAACAAACAGAAGAGGCCCAGATCTAGGTATTTCTTTTCATCATTTTGAAGATATGATCACTCAAGTAGGACTATTTTAATATTAGGAAAATCATAACTCCACAAAAAATGACACAAACTAGCTAATCCTTTTAACTAGTTTTTAATTTGATATAATTTAGATTCTCAGACAGGCAGTTTGGTTGAAAGATGGGACCAAAGTAGTTACTATTTTCGGCTGATTACAGACAATAACATATTTGAAGTTCAATTTGAAAAGAGCAAACATCCTTTTGTTTTGTTTATTAATGACTTTAATGTTCATTCAGAACATTTTATTTATTTATCTTTTATCTTATTTTTAAAATCGTTAAATTACAATATTGTATTTCAGCAAACATTGTCTCATTACATAAATAAATGTTATTCTCGTTTTCAGGACACTGACGTCAGTATACGACGCCATCTTGGAGGACCTCGTGTTCCCCGCAGAGATTGTTGGCAAGCGCATCCGGATCAAGCTGGATGGCTCCCAGCTCATCAAGGTCCACCTTGACAAGAACCAGCAGACCACTATTGAACATAAGGTATGTTGTGATAGTATAACTATTTCATTACAAACACAGCTGAATTTGTATTTAATGATCAATTTGATGAAATCAAATTATGGTTAAAGCAATCAAATTAATCATAATTGCTAGAAATGTTAGATGTTTTCTTGCAAATGCATAGCTTATCCAACCAAAATGCACTTCGGTTCCTCTCATAAAATAAATCATCACTCAAAATGCTAGCCCCTTTTTCAATAAACATCCTAAAATGGTAAATTGTGAATAAAATGCTAACATAAATTTGTGTTTGTTCACAGGTGGACACCTTCCAATCGGTATACAAGAAGCTGACGGGGCGCGAAGTTACCTTTGAATTCCCCGAACCCTACTTGTAAACTTAGGAATATGACTTTACAATAAACACCATAAAAAAAATGATTTATGATTTTTATTTCGATGCGCCTTTTGCGACAAGAGGTTATTTAAGAGAGTTATAGGGACTTGATCATGCTTCCGTGGTGTATCGAGCAACCAAGCATGAGATATCAAAGTAGTCCTTCATTTAATTATAAGTGTCATAAAGTTTTTAGTACTTACTGCGTCATGGAACCTGTGCAGGTTTGATTCCCGCACATCGAAGGTGAAGTGCGAATTCCTCCTAACTGACATTTATGTACAGAAAGTGTTTAAAAGTACATTTAGCATATTTTTCTACTCCAAAATGTTTTGCTCAATATAAAAACAGCCAATTTTGGTGCTACACCGTTGTTAGGTAGTTATCCACAAATTTAGTCTGTTGCTGGTGTAATGGCCGTTCCTTTGGTTGGAAAGGTGTTTCTAGAAAACTGCCAGACTGTTAGATGTCACGCTTATCCCTCCGACATAATTACTTGTTTCATAGAGCGTCTGGCCATCTTTTCTCTGTGAAGAAACCAGTTGACATAATATTTTCTTGTAAAACCAATCATCATCAGCCTATGAGTGCCCAGTGCCCACTGCTGAGCAAAGGCCTCTTTTCACACTGAAAAGATTTGAGTATTAATCACCGCTTGCTCAAGAGGGATTGGCGATTTCAAACATATAAAGACATTACAAGTCCATGTTTCCTCACAATGTTTTTCTTGACCGCGTGTCAGTGGAGGTTTCCGGCGAATTGGACCACAAAAACTTGGACCGCGGTCCCAGTAGCCGGACCCCTAAAAATTAAATATATTTTCTTCCGGTGACTGGGACCACCCACAACAATTTATAAAAATCAATTTTTAAAGCTAGTACAGTCAAAAGAAAAAAAAAGATTTACATTAATCATTTACTTTTTCTAGACACGATTTTATCTTATGCCCCATAGTTAGTTTTTAAGCTTCAATAATTCGCACATTATGGGAATAAACATTTTGTGATGCTGTGCTGTCTCTAACTTGAGTCCGATTTATTAGTTGATTTAAAGGTAAACAGCCTAAAATATAGTCAAATACTATTTACTTTTAAGTACTATATCAAAAACTTTTTTGGTTGACTGTACATTTTTTTATTTCAGTTATCATTTATGAGTGGCCCCAGTCGCCGGAAGCCTCTGTCAATACTGTCTAAATAACCATTGACTTTCTATGCTATACACTTAATTGGAACAAAGTTACATTGGTAGTTTGCCAGGTTTCAAACCTGCACCCTCCAGTACGAGAAGCATTAACCTTACAAATGTAGCTAATAATTTATAAAAAAAAACAAGTTCGTAATATTAATTACAGTTTATTCACTAACAATCAGTCCATCCCAATATTATATATTTTCACTGAACATAATATTCAATATAATTAAATTACAAATTTATATTTGCTCATAGATGATGTTGATAAAATACATTTACGAAAGTTACTATAAGAGAGCTTACAAATACGGATGTAATATGTATTTACGACTAAACAAAGTATTTTGTATGCAGTAAGTAGGTACGTATCTCAATTTCTGCACGATTGCAAATCTTTATGCAAAGAGATTTACTTTATTTTATATAATTATAAGACGTAAAGCCAATAAACTTGGCACAGTTATAGTTTAGGCACGAACCACAATCGATTCAAACTTGAACATTTTCTGCAAAAAATACACATTAATAGGTCTTTACCTATGAAATTGCCGTTTTGCATGAAAAAATTTAAACGAATTTTTTGATTTGAAATTGTAACACTAATCAATAAACAAATGACTACTTATGGAAAAAGAATCCCATGTTTTTAAAACAAAATTAATTAGCCCAGGCCTAACAAAAACTATTTTGATTTGAAATGGCCAGTACTGCAGAAGGTAAAGACCTATTATTTTTCGGAAATGAAATAAATAGTTATTTTTGCACAATATAGGATAAAATAATTCGTGCCATCACATATACAAATAGGTAATTAATGATATATAAACACAAGACTATTTTAAAATAAAAGAAATATAATTATTTACAAAAACATTTATTGACTAGTATGAAAGTTATTAAAATAAGATATGGATGATTAGTTGGTCAGTTTTTATTGTGGTTTGAAAGGAGCCAAAATTTACTAGCTTCTTTGATCCCTGATTTACCAAAATATTTTGGTCGTACATCCAGCTCTCGGAGCTGCCAACAAAAAGTATGGCATGTCAACTGGCTTTAAATTGGTTGCCCAATTAACCTTTCAAGGCAATTCGAGACAGAATAGAAGAAAAATTATATAGGAGTATACTGAATTGATGAATTTAATGGTTGTCGGCAACCCTAGCGTTTGTTCTGTCTTTCTGTGACACCATCGTGACTTTCCTATATAAAAAAGTACTCTGTGATCGTGACGCGAATGATCGCAAGACCGAAGTGTCACAATGAAGCAGGGGCTTAAATCTTACAGGTATTGTGTATGCTTAATAGAAAAGAGTCCTAATTCACAAAAGGAGGTATTCGATTTTTTATTTTTTTTTCAACAAGAAGGTTTAATTTCGAAATACCCACTTTAATTACTTACGTCTGTTTTCTATTAAACATAAATGTTTACTGCAAAGTTTATTAAATGTTTTCTAGAGACAACAAAAATATGTTGATACAGTTATATACAAAAGTGTTTACTTTCAGACATTAAGTTATCAAAATAGTTGATTAGTGATCAATTATTAGACCATATTCATATTTAATTACAATACAACCGATGAATTTCCTAAAAAAACTTAACTAAACAACTAATTAATTGCACCTACACCATTCCATAGAACCGAATTCAATACAAACGCTGAGTAAAGGTAAAATGCATAGAAATATAATATACACACCTACTTATTCTAAACTTACATAATATATGTATAGACAAGCTAAAATTTTTCATCATTAGGGACACTAGGAGCCTGATTTCATTAAATTACCAAAGTAGAATGACCGAATTGCGCAACAAACAGAATGTGGATATGTGGAGGGTATCATACCATTTGTAAACTGGCACCCGGTTTCCGAAAGGCCGATCAACGTTAAAATCAATTTAATCTCAAGTCAAGTCATCTGATTGGTTGACTGAATTATCAACAACCAATCAGATGACTTGACAAGAGATTTGACACCTACTTAGTTGATTTTAACAATGATCGGGCTTTCGGAAACCGGGCATTAGTTAAGCAACAAAGGCGTCGATCCAAAACACGTTTCTGTTCAGGTTCTACTCAGAAATTTCTTCCACGACTAGTAGTAGATTAACTTTCTAAGCAAAAGTGGTATTCAGATATAGTCCAATCTTTTGTTTCAGTGTCTCTCGGTAGATTGCTTTAGTCACCACAGTTGCGCAATTAGTCGTACGACTTTGATTCATTCAATGAAAAGCGGATCTAAAATTTATCACAAAAACAAAATTAAATTTGGAATGAATTAAATTTTTTTTGCATTGAAGACAGAAAATTACAGATAATAAATAAAAAGTTACGTATAAATTTAAATAAAGAGAAGAAAACCCTGGATGGGGCAATGCATGCCTACACTCTTTTACATGAAAGAGTTTTCGCATAATCGTTCCGTTCAAATCAAATCACAGGTAAAATATTAATTTGTGACTTATATCACATTTAAGACCATTCTTTATAAAAAAAAACATTTTTGAAATGGGATCTGAGTTTCTATAAGTTATGATTGATTTTGATATTAAATTCGACCTTTAACAAAATATTGTTCGAGCACTCGAACATTGTTGTTGATAAAAAAATAAACTGGTGTCCATTAAAATTAGACTATTTGAAGAATCTATTTCTGTAAGTTAAACTGTTGAAATTACTTGTGTTTGCTGTTTTTTATATCTATTACATATTAATTTTAAAAACAACTAGTTTTTTTAGTTTTCGCGTGGAATAGTGACTTCCTGCAGATTTTTGGTTTAAAAACTATCCTATGTCCTTTCTCGAGTTCCAAACTATGTCTGTAATAAATTTCACACAAATAGGTTCAGTAGTTTAGGCGTCAAGAAAATGCAGACAGACTGAGTTGCTTTCGCATTTATAATATTAGTTTGGATTGAAGGACCCCTATAAATGCCCACCAGTTTATAACTAAATTAAAATGCATAAATTAAAACACAATTCGCTTTTGATATACACAAAATAAATTTTTGCGCAAAATGTTAGCGCAACAAACTGACCCTTAAAGTATTAAGAGCCAGTCATTGAGCTATTTAATTAAATTAAATCCTTTTTAGGTACATAATTGCATTATGTAATTTATTTACCAATTCCTAAGATTTTTTAAGACCCGTTCTTAACTACTTATCCAAAACCCAGTCCAACTGGCTAAAGGCCGAATCAGCACACAATTTACAGTCTTCTTACAATTCCTCATCAAGTCGAGTATTACTTAGGTCTTACTCCAAAGATTTTCTTTAGAAAAACTTCTTTTCGTATCTATGACAAGCCAATATCTACATTGCATTTAAGATTATAAGGTTTAAAATAACTTTTATTTGCTGTTAGAATGTTATGTGACGTTAAAAGTTTCTGATATTGAGATCTTCTTTCACCTTTATTTCAAAGAATATAATGTTCATATCACTTCGCAGATTAAGTTACGTGTCAAGTTAACTCGTTTTAAACCTTATTTCAATAAGGATAATATTAACATTTGCATTTATATAAATGTTATTCGTTCGAAACCAAATGTTGCACACTCGAAATAATTCATATGTCAAAATCGGACATTTTTGTTTAAAAAACATGCTGGACATATCAAATCAAAGGCTAGAGCTGACAGTCATTATTATTGCAAGAATATTAAAAATATGATATAATGGTAATTGAAAAACCTATCACCTAAGAGACTATCGTTCTTTAAACGCTGGTAGGGGCGCTAGTGGCGAGTTAGGTCTTTTGATCCAAAATATGTTGGTTAATATATCTCTTATTTTATTTGGCGTGTTAGTAGGCAACCTTAAGTCTTCATGATAAAGTTCAAAATCAAGTAACAAATATTTATTCTTTCTTTAAAAAAATCTACTGTTAAGACTAGGTTGAGTCGCCTTTACTACAGAGCGAGAACTATTCGCTTCCAACCTATTATGCATCATATTCGCAACAAAAAAATATTAAACACCATACTTACAAGACTAAAGATACTTAAATCGCCAGTGCTGCCATCTACTCAGCGCAAAAACGACAGTTCTTCTCTTTGAAAAGAATTTAGGTGGTCTTTTTTTCTAAACCGGGAGGAGGGGCTATATTTTCTGTTTTATCCCCTGGCTTCTGTTCAGTTGGGGTGGGGGTGATCACTTTGAAGTAATTTACTGGTACGAGACCAGCGGACTTTCCGTCTGTCGTGGCCATAAGCCAACCAGAAGGCATTAAGTGCTGTTGGAGGTGTGTGGGAGCCACGTGGAAGATCTGGTTCTCGTGGATGGTGAGCTCCTGAGGAGATGTCGCTACGAAGGTGTAGTTAGCGATTGCTTTTAGCGGATTCTGCCACGTTGTCGGATCCGCCACTGTAAAAAGATTTTAAGCCTATGTTATTTTTTTATTGAATGATGAATACTCTTTTTGTTTAAATAATACGTTTTTTATTTTATGAAGTTATAGGCAAAGGAGCAATCCTTAAATGTATCTTGCACTTAGGGACGATATAGCTTACGAAAGACCATTAAAACATTTGGAGAAATGAGAAAACAAGGTGTTTGGTGTAAAGTTCCTCATCCTCCATTGAAAACGGCGGATCCTCCGACCAGACGAGTGTTGTGTCTGGTGGGCCCGACGGTTGTTGTCAGGATTTTGAACCTGTTCTATTTGGATCGATAACTGTTATACCGTAATATAGAAACTTTACTGTGATTGGTGCTGTTGCTGCGTTTTGTGCGATAGATGTCGCTACACAAGAACCTATATATGTGTATATCTACTTACAAGTCTCCTGAATGGTTGTATTAAGTCTGGTCATCATCTTCAGCACGATGTATGGTGCAGCCGCTACCACGGCGAAGAACATGATCACTGGCCATCCTGAGTATCGGATGCCCTGAGGTCCTTGGGCAGGTTCGCCTTGCTGTGTTGATGCCACAGCTTCGGCCCAGGCCTGGTGATATACAAAAATATATTTAAACAGTTGCGGTGGCTCCGAGTTTGTCAAGAATGAGGGTGCATATAGAAATCTTACCGCGTAACTTTTAATTAACCCGTGGTAAGCCTGAAGTTATATATAAGCGAGATACAATGTATTTTCTAAGGTGTCTCATATACTCGATGATGTTCAGCCCGGGCTTTTAGTCAGTAAGAGTCTGACAATCATTCTTGCCTCACCGAGAAAATTCAATTGATGATTTTCCCCTCACAAAAAAAAGATGACGGCGACAACTCGATCGACACACTAAGGCTTCGTTTACATTGCTGCATCGAGCTGTATTATCGATGGCGTAAACACAAACTCATGAGCAATGTACGACAAACGCTCGACGCACCGCATTTCTTATTAAGTTTATACTTAGTCAGGTGCGAAACCAAACAATCGACGCCTATTTCGTCAGTTGCAAAACGGCCCTAAAAATATTCCTAGATCAAGGCTGCTCCAACTCGTCGCCACCTAATCAGAACCAGACACAAGCCTAGTGTAAATGCTTATTATTGACTCCTACAGAAGCGCAGATGGGGGCCAACAGGGCTGATATTCAGATCAGGGTGACGGGGCAAGCGCGCCTCGGCCTGGAGTAGGAGAAAGAACTTGGATTTTGACCAAGTAACAGACTGGTATTCCTTCTCGCCTTATCCCTGGGCGAGAAAAGTCATTTGATGAATTTTCCTCTCATAAAAATGCTTAACCCTGTTTAAATAGGTATGTACATATACTGGCTTTTACATATCTATATATATAAAAGAAAGTCGTCTTAGTTACTCCACTTATGACTCAAGAACGGCTGAACCGATTTAGCTCAAAATCGGCAGGGAGGTAGTTTAGAGCCAGGAGAAGGACATAGGATAGGATAGGATAGAGTAGTTTAGGTAGAGTAGGGTAGGTAGAGTAGGGTAGATAGAGTAGGCCCTACCTACTCCCTACTCAAATGACGGGAGCGACGCCGCGAGTAAGAGCTAGTACATCATATTAGTTTGAAGATCGACAGATACTGTTATCTAACAGTCACGCGAACTACAATATCACATTGTTTTATTATTATTTTTAATACGTCATTCACATCCATCCAAGATAAGAATGGTATATATTCACGTGTGTATGAATATTTAGCGAATTTATTATACTCTATTGTATAGTGCATTGCCGATCTTTTGGGGATTGGGGATTTGGAGATTTAGGGGGGGGGGGGGCAAGGATTGGGCCTTCGGTAATCTCACTCACACGAATTGACGAATGGATGTCATCGTCGTGGATGCGTTACTAAACTGCGAATTGCGATTTGAAGTTAAATATTTTTTTATGGGATGGGTCGACGAACAAGCTGACGGATTACCTAATGAAAAGCAATCGGCGCCGCCCGTCACGAGTTCGTTGCCGGCCTTTTGGCGACAAGGGTTTCGGATATTTAAGGATTGGGAAGGGATGGGGAGTGGGAGCGATTGCGCCTCCAGTAATCTCACTCACACGGCAAAACACAACATGTGGTTGTTTCACGCCGGTTTTCTGTGAGGCCGTGGTATTACTCCGGTCGGGCCGACCCATTCGTGTCAAAGCACGGCTCTCCCACACTAAATATTTTCCCCTTCTTGTTACATGAGACGTTTACGGGGCGTGGTTTTAAGCTATAAAATTTTAAACCTATCAGGTATCTATCATGTCAATGTCAAGATCAAAGACCGAGTTATACGACGTTAGATTGGAAACGAAATAAGTAGCCACTACCGTATATAAATTGTCATCTGATAAAATTGAGACATTGTTGATAGTGAGTTTTTCCTGTGTGTATCATATGATTAGGTATTTCATTAGATGCTATAAAACAAAGTCGCTTTTACCTTTAATGCTTATTTTTTTATGTAATAGGTCGGCAAACGAGCAGACGGATTACCTGATTAAGCAATCAGCGCCGCCCATGGACACTCGCAACGGAGGAGTTACGAGTGCGTTGCCGACCTTTTAGGGATTAGGGATTTGGAGATTTAGGGATTGCGGAGGGATTGGGGAAGGGGAAGGATTGGGCCTCCCGAATGTCCCTATATCCCCATGTATGCCAGTACCTATATAAAAAAATTACTCAGGAATCGTTTCAGGTATACCTTTAAATCGTGTTATATTGAAACACAATAGAAGAACAATAGGTGCGCCAACGCCGGCGTTCGCTTGGGGTTTTGGAAGAAGAAGTAGCGCTAATAAGCAACGCTTAGCAGACAAGATCGCGAGTTTCAAAAGAAGAAACTTTGTTGATTCATTCATCATGTATCTGCGTAGGTACGGCAGATAAAATTTAGTAGTCCAAATTGTATACATATACTCATGTACACCACACTGGTATACATAATTAAAATGCTTATCACCTCATTATCAATTACGTATTAACATTATTATCATCAACTATAACGCACTACCGTTACTCAGTATACATACATATATCTATCTCTTACATTTTGTTCTCTTCAGGAACTTAATTATAATACCTACTATTTTTGAGCAGTTGAATAGAGCTATACTCCGTTTATGTTTACATTTATTACTCCGTAATGTCGATGTCCACCAATGTGACATTTTCAGAGTTACATGTACTTTCTATGATTATTTAGACACCATTGACGTACGGTGAAGGTAAACATAGTTAGGAAAAATGGACTTATAATTTCTAATTATAACTTTGAAATCGCCAAACCGCATTGAGCAAGCGTGGTGATCAATGCTCTAACCTTCTCCATATGAGAAGAGGCCTTTGCTCAGCAGTGGGCATGGGCACTTATAGGCTGATGATGATAATCCGTTTATTTTGGGAAAGCTATCAAATTACTTCTTTTATCCTGGGTGGGGCAAAAGGAAGTGTCAGTCTCTTCCATCCATCCCGTTTCTGTCTCCTGCTCCGGGCCGGGGATCACGGTACTTTATTGCATTTGCACAAGCAAACCTAGCTGAACATCAGCCCTGTTGTGGCCCATCTGTGCTGGTCTATCTGGGTATCTATTGGGTCTTTGAAGAACGCGCGGAACGCTACGCGCCATACGTTCGGATCTGATTCTGGTCCGCCGACTTGCGCTAATATTAGCGTTGAGTAGGTATTTGAAAACAAAATACGCGTCGAATTGAGAACCTCCTCCTTTTTTGAAGTCGGTTAATAAAAAAAAGATCTAAGTGACGGAGTAAATAGAAACATTATGTCACGCGTAAGTAAATAAAATTATTAACAATTCGACCTTTGGCACTGACACATAAATTTATTGATAAAAACATCAATTTTAATTCATTACAGAGACTTGTCAAAGGCAAATTTTACAACACGGCAATGAACTGGGAGTGCAATTGTGCACATAAGTTATTTGTACTTACATGCTTATTTTAGTTATATCCACTTCATCATTAAACTAAAGAAAAGACGGATTCTGTCCAGAATGATATGGGATGGAGAGTTATCTAATAAATATGTGATTCATGTAAAAATGACTACGGGGGGCAGTGATTGCTTACCTTCAGTTACACCGCAGAGTGAAAACTTTTTTGTTATGCTTGGGCCACATTGACGAGAAATGCCAATAATTATCGCGATAATTGATGATATTAAACAATGAAAAATATACCTTAACTAATTTGTTTAGTGATCAAATTACATCTACGATTAATATCCATTATCGCGATAATGAATGACATTTCCCGTTAGTGTGGCCCAAGCATTAGGGCTAAGGGTCGGTACACATTTGTCGGAAAATGCGTCGTGTATAATCAATTCTGGTTTTAATTTAATATAAAAGGATTGGCCGACTTTTTTTGGCCAATTAACACTTAGAAAATAAATATAAACAATCTTACCTGAAATTCATTTTCAGTTCTAATTCCGATGAGAACCATCAACTTCCTGATGATCCAGTTCAGGGTCCTAACTACTGCGAAGGTCGACCAGAACTGGGCGAAGAGCGACCGCAGTCTGCCGACGTTTTCTGCCACCCCTGCGTAACGTGAAAATCATTGTATTTTTTGATGGTAGGGTCACTTGTTTTCAAGGGAGATAAAGGCCTAGGGATATGCCGTTATATGCATTAATACGTGGGTTCTGCGAAGTTGGTCTTTTCAGAAGACCCAGTTTCTCTAATAAATAAGGATAGTGGCCATAGGGACGGTATAAATGTGCCAAGTTTCAAAAATTCGAAGCATCTTTTGATATTTGCACTCCAAAAATAAAAAGACCAACCATCTATACGTCATTACGGGCAAAAGTGGAACTTTTGTGATTAAAAGAAGTGTAATTACGTCAGCATAGATGTATGTCCATTCTGATAGCAAACAGTAAGAACAAACATTGTCATCAATAATACTACGAAGTACTGAAAATCACTCGAATCTTGTTTACAACTGTACCTATCTACAATGATTATGTGTGTCAAAACAAAGAGTCTATATTTGATCTGTTTAAGATAACAATAATAGGTTTGAACACCCTTAGACGCTAAAGTCGCTAGCACATTTAAAGATACAGAATGGAGTGGGCCAAATTTAATATTTTTATTACTTTTAGTTAAGAACTAAAAGAGAAAAAAATAGGAATACTTACATAAATATTTTATTTAACTTTAAGAGACTGAAACAAGAGCTCTAGGGGTACAAAGAGGTGTAATAATTGATATATAGGTACAATTTATTAATAGAGGTGTAGTCATATTTATTTACACCAGCCCTTTAGGAAGAATTCAGTGACGTTAACAGGTAAGTACAGCGGATTAAAGAATATACCCACGAAAAGCATTGTCATCTACATTAATTGTAGATGTAAAAAAAGTAGTGCATCAAAGCTACGCTAAGGCAGTACGAAGTTCGCTGCTTATTTAGGTATATCTAAACTGGCCCCTATTTTATTTTAAATATTTTAACTTTGTAGTGAATTACTTAAAATACTTACCCAAAACAGCTCTAAATGAACTGGTCATAGCGAAGAATGTGCCCTCAAGCATCATGGCTACGCTGCCTACAGCATTCACCAAGCTCTGTATGGATTCGAACGCTGGACGGGACCGCTCCTCAGCCATCTGTATAAACCTGGAGGAAGAAACTTCTTAGTACTGGTAGAAAGCATAGACCCTAGTTTCCGAATGACAAAAGAAAAAAAACTGTATGACAGATATGAAAAAAAAAATACATTTAAACTATCTACCATGCTTTTATGCTTAGGTTTACTTAATAAGAAGGGGTTATAATAATGGGATAAAAGGGATGTTTCCAACTAGAATAATGAATCCGCATCTCTTAGTAAAAAAAAACGGTGTTTTTTAAGACTTGTTGACTAATTTTTTTTTCTGGTTATAAGGTCAACCAATACACATACCAATTCCTATTTTTTTCTGTTCAGTTTTATATTACCTACTTTATGCAAATGTGCAAATGGTACACAAATTAAACTAATACACAAAGAAAAACATAAAATGACAGCCCAAAATACATATCGTAGATTCGGGTTGCTTTGACCATTTGGTTCTGGGTTTTTATTGGTTAAGGGGTTTGGATAAAAGGGTAAAAATATCCCGAAGTTACGGTAGTTATAAAAAAAAAATAAAAAAAATGTAGAAATAAATGTCACAGGATTCGAAATTACCAATTTAATTACAAATATACAATGTCTGCTGACGATGGTGTTGATTTATTTTATTTATTTAAACTTTATGCAACAAAACATTACATAGGTGGACTTAATGCCGTAGGCATTCTCACCAGTCAACCTTAGGGTGATGCAGAGAGAGTATGGTAGGTGCAACAAGAAGAGAGCTTTGAGAAGATTAATTAAGATTTAAAATACAACAAAAACACTAACTTACACCTATTCAAATTTGCACAATTATTCATTAAAAGTTTCAAATGTTAATGGTAATAAGAAATGCAAAAAAATTAACAAAAAATATGAAATGCATTTTAAAACGAGTAGAAAAGTGAAGTGCACAAAATGGTAAAGTGAAATTTAAAAAACAAATCTACAAATAGCAATTATATTTTATAAATATTTATGTCCCTATCTCTCTTGGTCACACCAATTACGAATTTTGAATGACTGCAGCCAATTAGAACAATTTTTGGGTTGTTTAAATATTTTTTTTTGTGACATTGTTTTTTTATTGTCTACACAAGGGTCGTATCGAGAATTCACCACGAATGTAGTAGGTATTTAGTTATAGGTACTTTTATTAAATATGTAAGCTAGAATAATGCTATTGGTGACAAAATAAAATAAAAAACAAAACATAATAAGCCTTATATTTTACAAAAAAAAAAGAACAAACATTGGTACATTTAAGAAGACTTGGCTAATTATAAGTTAAGTTTTTGACCGCCACGTCAAAAAAGCGCCAAGCTTCGAATTCCGGTGAGGTTTATTTTTTTTCTTGCTGTCTTATATTACTATTGACCCAATGTAAAGAAAACCGTTTATTTTTTAATTACGACGAATCTTCGTATATAATTAACAAACGCAATAAAAAGAAAACATGTTTTTTTTGACATCAATGGCTTTTGAAATTCTTTAGTTAGGTGCTAGGCACATTTTGTTTGGTCGTTTACACTTGACTGTGGCGGTCAAATGATTAAAACTATAGGACCTTGAATAAATTCTTGATATTTGTATATTTTTTTTGGTTCCAATCTTCAGGGTTTTAACTTTTATTAGTATCAATATAGGTAACACAAAGTTTTTTTCTTTTCTTAGAGATGTAACCAATCGTATCTTTCATAAATTCGCCTAGTGGCCTAGATTTGTTCCAAAATTCTTCAAGCAATAACTTAAGTTTTTACGACATGCGATAATGATATTACATTAGTCATGTGCATAGCATTGTTTTCTTTTTAAGATGTATATGTATATTATACGAAATAATTAAGTTGTACTATTCTTTAGCTAGTAGCCTAGTAGTCTTCTATTCTTTAGTAACCAATGTCATATTATAATGCCTAAGATATTTTTTCGGAACAGAAAGGTAAAGGTTTTTGATAACAATTTAAATTAAACATCTTTTCATAGTATCCAAATATATCATACTCATATCATATTTTTCGTGAGGAAACCTGGACTTATAATTACTAATTATAAGTTTGAAATGGCCAACCCACAGTGAGCAAGCATGGTGATTAATGCTCAAACCTTCTCTGTGTTAGAAGAGGCCTTTGCTCAGCAGTGGGTACTTATAGGCTGTTGATGTGATATCATATTTTCAAGGTAATTTATTAAGCAATCCCCATCTAACAGATGGTCGTTAGGTGTTGCAAGCCTCAATAGCAAATAGCTATGTTTCCATTATTGCAATTTTTGGCTTATATCACAAGAGAAAGAGAGCTTATTCAAGGACCTAATTAAATACTACGATAATTAATTTGACTATTCTAGTAAGAACCCAAATTTTTCGCCGGTATGGTCATCGTCGACCAACTTCCATGGACTTCGGTTAAGTTTAGACGCCTCCAACACATTGGCTGCTTTTAGAAAATCTTCTAACATCAATCGGTTTCTCTTAGTAGGATCAAGTAGACCTTTTAAGGCAGGAAGTCTGCAAGTCCATTCATTCTTTATCAGTATGGCTTTGTGACCAGCCCACCGTCATCTGTTTTTTTGACATAGGGCTTTCTATATATTTTTTTCATTCTAGTACTTTGCTCTATAGCTCTTTGACATGATCTGACTTTGGATGTAATTCTACACATAAGTAAGCTTAATTAGCATGGGCCAATAAAGGGATTTTAAAGCGTATGACATATAATAAACAAGAAGAAGCGGTAATGTAGCATAGAGACTAAAAAGCGATAACATGATATTTCTTAAATTGTATTTATGATTTGTGTGAACATGTTATAAAAAAAAGAAAAAAAAAACAAAATAAATGGTAAGAGTTTTAAATGAGATGACATTTGACAGCAGACAATAGAAATAAAATATATTGCGCTGACATCAAATATGCTTGAGTTATGGGTACGAAGAATAAAGGTTTCATGCCTCGCAACAATAGCACAATCAATAAATATTTTTGGGATTAATTTGTAATAATATTGTCTTTTTTTCATTTTTTATACATATAATATGGAAATCAGATGATGTCAATCCAAAATTAATTTAGTGCTTCATTACTGCAATGGCCACTGATATATTTTATGCTATGAATGAACACCATTTGTTTTGTTTTTGTAAATAATATTTTTTATACAAAAGTAGTGCTTTATACTCTTTTAAAATACACTATTACTTTTAATCATTATATTAGTGAATAAACAAAGGACTATTTGCAAATATAATTTAAGTTTCATTTAACACATTACATTGAAAATAGAAACTTATTTTGAAAATTTTTTTGTTAAAAAATTCAATTTACCGTAAATAAATCAAAAAAGGAATATTAAAAATTACCTTGTTTCATAGTTGTCCATCAATCTGTTGTAGCCTCCATACATACCCCCAAGCCCACCCATTCCATAACCACCCATACCTCCATATCCCCCATATGCCCCCATTCCCATTCCCATACCCATTCCTCCGTAGGACCCCATTCCACCATATGATCCCATTCCTCCATAGGATCCCATTCCCCCATAAGATCCCATGCCACCATAGTTGCCCATTTGACTGGCAAAGGATGGTTGGGCAAGAGCTTGGTTTAAGTCTATCCTGGGAGGAACAGGTGGAGGCTGATTGGCTTGGACCCCAGACGCTGAATGCACGCCTGGAGGTAAGTAGTGTATTCCTTGATCAGGTGGTGGTATACCAACATTGCTGGGCATTGGCATATTGCCTCCCATAGCCATATTACCACCGTAATTGAAATTCAACTGTGATTCACTCATTGTAGTTTTGTAATCAGCACTGCACTGGCGACTCGACTCAATACGCACAAATAATTTGGTCAAGTAACAAAGTACGCATTCACTGATAAGCGATGCACGCCATTTCAATAAACAACCTTTCACATAAATAAATAGTCATTGATTTTCTCTGCAGATTACGCAGCTGCGCAAAGGGCACCTGTATTTATTTCATAGAGTTCAATATGCACTTGTGTATAAAATACGTCCTGTCCAACCCAACTATCTACGAAGATGTTGACAAGATAATGACGTTTCAGTTTGACAATTTGACAGTACACTAGTGACGTCCGGAAACTGTTGCCAAACGTAAAAAAAATACTGAGTGATATGTTGCCTTTCAGTATTTGTGTAATTGCAGGGTTCTACAAAATTTTGTTATGAATTGCGTTATTCTGACTTAACTGTGTTACTTGCTTCCAGTGCTGCAAAGATACAAAGGACACAAAGATACAATGTTTAATCCAATAATATAATATTATTTGTTTAATTCTTAAGCTGATAGTCCATAAAACATTTTAAACTGTAACGCATGTCTGCAAAAAAATGGAAATAAATTATTTTAATCGAGTGGTGCAGAGATTAGCATTGAAAGTGAAAACTCGGTCGCTTTGATAGTGACCTAGTTTAAAAAAAACAATTGTTGTCTATGTTCCTAAAGGGTGTCAATAATTTCGATAGTGCTATAAACTTTGTTGTTATTTGTTTTAATTCGGATTTAGTGCTATTAAACTTGTGAAGCAGTAATAAGAAGGACTTAAATTCTTTGTTTTAAACGGTAAGTGGTCGTGAGAATTATAAGTATTCGTGTTAAATTATCAATGTTTCTATGACGAAGTAAATGTCATTTTTTCACTGCAAGTTTTTTAATGTTTTCTATGTTATATTGCTTACAAAAGCTTCTTATTCACTAAATGCAGTATGAACAATCATAATGTAATCAGATAACACATGCCTGTATGTGATTATTAAAGATTTACATAGAATTTCTTGGCATTTGAAAGGTGTAGCTTGCGACCGGTTTGAGAAGGCATATCTTTGCGTGGTTGCCGCCTAATCAGAGTCAATTACTCTGGGCTGGTAGACGGAATGACACGAATAATGAGCGTTTATTGCTGACGCCTCGTACTAGACGTAAATTACGAAGCAAGCTGCAAATTGCTGATACTTCTATTTGGCGTAAGCTGTACTTATAAATCGCATCTAAGGAGTAATTTAGTGACGAATTGACGTCGATATTTCATTACTTACTTACTCACAACACTTGAATAACAATAAATTAGGCATATGTAGTACAAATGTATGTTTTCAAAAATGGAACAATGTTTGAAAAGTATTGCCATAAATAATTATACCAACTTTATGCTTACTGTCTTGAATTCAATATAAACAACAAATTCGTGGTTTTAATACATGTAATTTGTTTCAATATTGTTTAATTTAATAGAAATGTACCCAACATTGCACTTTGAAAATAGAACATTATTTTTTCATTATACAGGATAAAACCTATTTATTCTATGTTTTATCAGGTATCACTATTATTGTCAATTAATCAGCATTTAGAGTATCTAATATCATATAAAATTATGTATTACATAATACAGTTACATATAATCCGTTCAGGAAAAAAATAACGAAGCTTATTAATAGTGCATATTAACTAATTATTATTTAATTTTAATCAATTATATTATTTGTTGATGTTTCCCTGTTAGCAGGTAACTATGACAAAAATGTAAAAGAAGAAAGAGAGAGACAGAAGAATGTCTAATAGTAATCTCATAACAATGAGTTTTTATTCAAAATTTTGTATTATTCATTAAGGGTTAACTAAGCCTAATGTAGAAAGACATGTTAAATAAAAAATATACTACTAATCCTATTTATATAAATGTGAAAAGATATAGAAATGATGTTTGCCCGTATTCTTTGACTCAAAATGGCTGGACCAATTTGGTATGTAGATAGGTGTTAACCTGGAGTAACACAAGCTACTTTTTAAGTTTTTACCAACATACCACGCACCGAAGCTAGGTTGTATGTGTATCTATAATTTATACGCAAATTGCACATACATGGCACTACTGATCTAGGTCCAGCAATTTATGGTTCATATAAATATAATCTGTGCGAAATTCGAACACGCAACACTGTTTCGCGCTTGAAAGTTTAAGTGAAGCTCACAATACAGTGGTTTGTAATACTCAGTTTCATATTTACGACTACGACAATAGTAAACTTGTGGTGTACGTAACAAAGGCGTTAGTTTCCCATTTCCCCGCGACCGGAAAGCGGCAGCACTGTCGCGGAAGGAGCTAACGCTTACCTCCCGCCCCTTTGTAAAATCGTTACGAGATACCGTCTTAATTTAAGTTCTGTGCACATCTATGTTGAATTAATTGTTTCATTTAAAATTAATATTGCTTTTTGCAAATGACCTTGAAACGCAAAACAGTTAGTTAACAGTGATTCATTCTTTGTAACACACACGGAATAGAAAATACAGTGGAAGTGCCCCTCAGACATCGCGCGCTAACCAACATGATGACTAGATATACAACATTTTGGCACATTTGTTGTCAGAATCGTTCGATCCGTTGTCATGATTGGTTGTCATGGTTGTCTCTAAGAAACACGAAATATATTAGAAATTATGCCTTGTTGTGCGGTTTTTAACTGCAAAAAAGTCAGCAGAAAAAAAGATGAGCCTTGTGGTGGTGTATCGTATCATCTTTGAATATTAACCTTTGTTAATTTTAAAATATATTAGATTTTAATGTAAATATCACATTTCATTACTTCAATGCAAACTATAAAGGGCCTTATTTTCATTACAATTAAGTTTAAATCTACTTGTTCGTTATGTGACGTTATATACAATACATTCTAGTAGTTTCGACGCTACTCATTTAGGGATGCGACATATTCGTAAAATAGGTTCATATCGATAATTTTTCATCATCATCGTTCAGAAAATTGATTTTTGACAATTTTTGTGTATAATTCATAAATGTTTAACTAAGATTGCATAGACACATCAACGTTTTAACCACACACAGCGTGCATCCGTCTGTGGCAGGTGCGGGTGGTTAATCACCATTTTTATTTTATAACTAGTTTTCGCCAGCGGCTTCGCCCGCGTGCTGTGTTGGTAAAAAGCAGCAAATAGCAAGAGAACAAAATCTAAGTATACATAAAATTTGGTATTTATCGTCTCATTTTTATACATCTCCAATGGGTAAATACCCTATTACTTACTAAGTCTCCGCAGTCCGTCCGTCAATAGATAGAAAGGTACGGATCTAACTAATAGGTAAGAGTTACAAATATTTGATAAAACCTATATTATATTATATTTTATACCGCATCGTGTCGAGCACGGCAACCGCTACACAAAAATAATTCTTATACCATGATTCAGTGTTCACTTGCGACGGCGCTATGTCTTATTATCCGAATTGCTAAGCTATCAGGAGTTACACGTGCTATTGTGAGTTAACCATAAAAGATAGACATATGCTGTATAACATTTTTTTTGACAATTTTATTTAAAATATTTCCGTCATACATAATTTCTATGTAAGTTTCAGTCGCGTGTGTAACCTTAATGTAGCATTAAGGTTACACACGCGACTGAAACTTACAAAAGGGAGTAACTTCTCCCGTTTTCCCAACATTTTCCTTCACTGCTCTGCCCCTATTATTTGTAGCGTGATGAAAAGTATCCTATAACCTGCCCAGGAGTATAAAGAATAATTGTACCAAGTTTTGTTAAAATCCGTCGAGTAATTTTTGTTTCTATAAAGAACATTCAGACAGACAGACAGACAGACAGACAGACAGACAGACAGACAGACAGACAGACAGACAGACAGACAGACAAAATTTTTACTGATTGCATTTTTGGCATCAGTATCGATCACTAATCACCCCCTGGTAGTTATTTTGAAAATATATTTAATGTACAGAATTGACCCCTCTACAGATTTATTATAAGAATAAATGTTGTACATGATTTTTATCAGAGTTCCAAAAAGGAGAGTGACTCTCAATTCGACTGTAACATTTTTTTTTGTTTTTTTCGTCTCCGTTATTTATGAACCGATTTTAATGATTCTATTTTAGGAAAGGAGATAAAACTGGTAGGAGAGCGTAGTGCTTTTATATGTTAAAATCGAAATCTTTAATAATAACTTGACCATCTCCAAAAAACATTAAATCTTCAAAAAATATGTTAATATTTTTCTTTTTTTTTATTAGAACCTTTTTCATTACTGATCATTTGTAGGTATATCGTGTCGATAAATTATATTGCTCACACGAATACAAAAACATCGATATATTGGGATACCCTGCCCTATCTGAGTAGCAAAATAGTAAATGTCTATTGGTACAAGTGCATACAAATATGACATCTATTTCAAAGAAGTTAGCGTTTTGAATAGAATGAATTTGTTACAGCGCCATCTAGCGTTGAGTGGCTGAACCCGTTTGTAAATTGTTTTATTTAAGTTTTTTACACGATAGACGCCTTTATTGATTGTGACATGTGAAATGATAACAACTTTCGCTCATTGTTATAAGACTCAATTTTTAACAACATTTAGAAGATGATTTGCTAAAGTTGCGTTTCATGTTTTTACCCAATTATATAGCTGTTTTTTATGTGTGTAATGGACAATTTGATTTGCGAATGTGTGATTTTGGCGACACTGGTTTTCCTTTTGAAAGAGTGTAGGGGCACTTCTACTTAATTTTCTGTTCTGTGGTAACACATTTATTTACAACTTTTTTGCGGTATCATTTTCATTTGCATCTTGAACCAAAGAGTTTCGTATGACATTTAACACAAAAGAGCCCTAAAAGAGATTTGCGGTGTTACTAGTAATTTATTCGAAAATTTTATCTTTGGATTTCAAATTAATATGAATATTAAGAGGTCGGGTCGCCCTCGTCGGCAGATAATTACAATTTATTGCTGCATTTTAATTAGGATCAATACTTATTGACATAGCTTTACCGTTTTTCTTTGTAGTTTCAACTTTCAAAGAGGTTTATAAGCTTCAAAGGGACTAAATAAATATTTCTTTTTTATTTTAACGGCGGTAAAGTTTTCCTTTATTGGTAGCGGAAAGTCCTTAGAGACAAAAAGGGATCGTTTTCCGAGGAAGTTATTGGTAGCTTTAAAAGCATTGATTGATTTATTAAAGTTGGTCTATATTAAACTGGAAAGAAAAATCTCCAGTCTTCAAACTATCTTAAAATTCTTTGTGACGCGAAATAAATACAAGCATACACACACCTATCCTATCGACTCTATAATATAAAAATGGATTGTAAATGTGTTGGTAAGCGCAAAACTCACCAACGCAACGCCTGGACCAATTTTGGAAATTCTCTTTTCGTTGTGGTTGTCAGTAGAATGTGCTTATGAAAGAAAGTTCCAGAAAAGTAGAAAGGAAATTTGGGAAATAGCGACCCTTTTGCCTTTAGCTAATTAGTTGTACAACCGTACGAAGTAGGGGCAAGTTGCTAGTTTAATATAAAAATGCAATTTTACTAGGAGACATGTCTTAAAGACTCACGAAATGCTCAAAATTCCTGTGGTATGCCTCTGTAAATTTGTGGGACAATGTTGCTCGATATTTCTTCTGTTCACATTGGCCAATCGTCAAAGACTTGACAAGTTGTCATAGCCAACGAATGTGAACCGTGCGACGACGTTGCAGTCCGTCTGGTTGCACTTACAATGTTTGTAAATCTAAATCTACACTTAAAATAAACATTTTCTCTTTAACTAACATGGCAACAATCATATTAAAAAAAATCGCTCCACTTTCTCTATATTTTTTTTTGGTTTAAACATTTTCCAATTTCAAAAATCCATTTCCCAGTACAATAAATAAAATATAGTTTGGTGTAAAATACTGGCTGTTTGTGTGAAAGGAGTGCGAATCGTGTTGGTCGGAACAGTCGGCAGCGTCATTTCCGGTAACGTCTCGCGAACGAAATGGACCAGTTTTGAAATGGGGCAGCGGGACAACCTTGTTGGACATCCAGCTTTTATTATTATTTAATATGATGTATATCATTTAATTTAGTGCTTACGTGTGTTTTAATGTCGAAACTTTGCCAAAAAATAGGCTTGATTCTCGACACCGACCGATGTACTCTCACACCCACTCCATTATAGTCCATAATTCCTATTCTTTATTGTGAAATGAAATAATTTATGAATAATAATCGAATACAATAAGTGTACTTTTATAATGTAACTAGCCATTCCCGCATGGTTTGATCAACTGTTCAGCCCTGTTTGGCGTAGAGAGCGATGTTTTATAGGGATAACTCTACTTGAAAGCATTTTTCAATACGCACTGTTTCGGACACTTATACTTGTAACTTCATAGCAATTTCAAATTCGAATAGAACTATATCTATGAAATAATGGCGGCTAATAAAAGCTAGCTGCAAAAACCAAGTTTTGTTTATGATACATTTTATTAAAGGTGAAAATCTTCAAATATATAATCTCGTCCTGATTGAAGCAAGAAGGAGTGTTAGTCTATTACTGCTTAAAAAACCACAAGGTTCCTTCTCCAGTTATCCGAAACCCTGACTGAACAAAGACATATTTACAGCAATTAGCCTTTTATTTAAAAGTTAATAATCTGTTTTGCATCACATTTCCTCCACGTTTGGAGACTGAACAGTGTTATCTGCAAATTCCTTTAAGGCAATTTCAGCACCAGTTAATAATTTACCGCATCTATCCTCCATCCTCCATAATAGAAGTGTTTCAAGAGCATCTCAAGAAGTTTGCGGGCGCGTGTTTAGACCTGTCCTTCAGTGGAGTGTCTGTCACCGCCTTATGACGGGGACTAATAGCTTGCCTTGTTCTGAAGACCTCTAACAACAATATTGTGTTTCCGACCCGGATTTTACGCCATAGTTTCGGTGTGAGTGTTCCTAAGCACATAAGTTTTAATCCGATCCTAATTTTCAAATGGAGAGGGTAGTTGATATTCTATACTAAAAGGTCTTTAGACCCTTCTTGCGGTTTTCGTGTGTTTTCAGCGGAGCTGTTGCTTTGGTTCTGTAGATTCGATTTTTCATTAAAATTGTTGTTAGATTTGTGAGTAAGGATTTGAAAGAAGAAACAAGTGATAGTTATTATAAGAAATAATCTGTATTCAGCTTCAAAAGACTATATGATATGAAAAGTACAAAAATAGTAAAGGGTACAATGTCGGCCTTATCGATAAAACTACCAGGCAACCTTTAGATGAAAAATAGTTTATGTGTTGTTTTTGAATAACTAGTATATTTACATTTAAAAGCTTAAGTAAATATCATTACAAAGTGTACTAAAATGCGCTGTAGCGTAGTTACAATTATTATTGCATTACATATGTATGCAAAGTAAAGAAAAATTTCGAAAAAGGTAAAAAGTCCAAAATCGTGCGGACTATGTCTTGTGTATTTTTCTGTAAGGGCTGATTTTTCAATAGTTAGATAAAAGTTATCTGGTAATTATGATGCTGTCGTGTCAGCATGTTTGTATAAGACAGTGACAGCAACAATTTTATTCCTCAGATAACATTATTTATCTGACTATTGAAAAATCAGCCCTAATTTCAGTTAGGGTTATCCAAATTTTCTCCTAATTTAACTTTGCTGTATTATGATTTTCTTTATGTAATGCTGAAATGTTATTTTGTTTTGTCAGGTGATATATTCCTGTAACAACTTGGTCCAGTTGGTAAGTAAATTCTTATTTTTTCGTAACCACATTAACACATTCAATACATTAATGTATAGAACGCACAGGTGCGTCGAGGGCACACAGAGTAGCGTAAGGAAACGCACATACGCGTCGGGGGCACTGGATGTGTTAACATTGATCAAAACATATTTTTTCACAAGTTTATATGGACTAAAACTCTTTTCACCTGTTTTCGTTCCATTTTTCTTCTAGTCCAACTGTTTATAATTTAGAATGTAGTTTAGATTTTTATTATAGCTCTTCTGATATTTTCTAGACGTTTTATTGTTAGTGCTGAGACGAATGACCTGTGTCAATTCGTCATTCAAAATTAGAAACGAGTAGCTGTATTCATAGTCGCTAGATGTTTACCGAACTCTTTTATGCAGATGTTTTAAGTATCACCCCCTTTTTATTGTATATAAATACTCCTATACTTCCAATGACGATATAACCACTATATATATATATATATATTCTCTTTGGTTATATCCTCTTTGGTTACTTCGGAAGCCGTAAAGGTGACTTACACCTAAACTTTATCAACATTAAATAAAGTTCCTGCGTATTGCTTATTATATTACTATTGATTTCATTCATATTATATTCATATTACTATTGATTCCTCCGTGAGTGAGGTTACCGGAGGCCCAATCCTTCCCCGCCCCCAACCCCCCCTCAATCCCTAAATCTCCAAATCCCTAATCCCTAAAAGGTCGGCAACGCACTCGTAACTCCTCCGTTGCGGGTGTCCATGGGCGGCGCTGATTGCTTACCATCAGGTAATCCGTCTGCTCGTTTGCCGACCAATTACATAAAAAAAAAAATATCTCTCAAATCTACCCTTATTAAGGAACCATTGGACTTTTACATACAGCAGATACTATTTCTAATCAAATTTTCTATTCGTACGATATACTTTTGAGTACCTAAACTCTATTCAATAAAACAATATTATGAAAAATAGGTACAAAACAAGAAACAAGGCAATTATACACCGCAATATTCAGGCTATGAGTTTGAAACTGAGCTAGTTTTTGTTCTGCATAACCTAGAACACTCGCACGTAATTAGGTTCTGGCCTGTTAACCTATAAAAAGAGGTTTCCCACTTGAACACGCGCGAAATCAACACCGAGAGAACTTATGGTTGTTGGCAATATATGTTGGGGGAAAAATGGCAGATTTGGTTCTTATAGAACACTTTATTTTCCTTACAATATGAGAAATATAGGGAGCTGCGATCCGCGTTTCACCCATGTATTTTATAGCTTCACAACATTCAACGATTTTCTTAAATCGGTCAAGTAGTTTCGGAGTCTATCCCATTAAAAAAAAACAAACAATCAAACCTTTTCTCTTACTATTTATTATAAGTAAAAAATATATGTAGTGTAGACTTATCTTTTTTCTGTATTCGAGGGTAAACCTTCGAAAGGCACTAAGCTTTTGTGGAAAAGACAAAACACTGGGTAGTCATGACTTAGTGGAATATCTGCTGTCTGGTACTGTAGTGTAGACTTACTTAGTGCCAGATAGCAGATTTGCCTTCTAGAAGTATAATTTTGACACGTATTCTACGTTACGTTAAAAATTTGTCATATTCGAGTAATCTTCTGACGAAAAAAATGTCGGGATTGGATGTAACTATATAGCTGGATTCTAGTATATCTAGTATCCGTTACTAAAGATATCCGTTTTGATATTTCAGATTCCAGAAATTACGAATATTTTAGAACTTACCTAATTTTAAAATGACTCGAAAACACTAGAGATTTACAATCTCAAGACAAAGTAACGAAGGAGAAAATAAAAGCCTAAAGTTTGTAGCATTATTCTCTATGAGATTTAATTTTAATAGTAAAGTTCTTAAATCGATTATTATTGAAAGATGACAACATTTTTTTATTTTTATATCGATTGTTTCCATTACAGCTGATGTCGAGACATAAGTCACGCAGTTCTTTATGTCCTATTGAACGATTCGTCACAGATTCGATCCGCTCGGATTACCGTTATTAAACAATGTGTCATCTCACCCGTTGTTTAGTTAGATTGCATTGTGAAAAAAAATCGGAGTTGGAATACTTTTTACTGGGTATTTAGTTGAAGGGAGGATTGTAAATCTAAAAATACGATCGTCCATTTTGAATCAAACCGTTTTTTCTTCATAAACTAATCATTTCTGGGAACAAATTCTATTATATCATAGCAGATCTATTCCAGTCTGTCTAGATCTCAGTCTGTCATTATCTGAGTCTAAAATTAATAATGGCGGACTAAACGGCGCTATAATTGAAGGTCCACTGATTGTACAGGTCAACGGTACATCAAATTATGTTAAGTTTAATGGAGCGACGATTGTTAGTCATCCGTTTGATCGTGAATAAGTGTAGGTATACGTACTGTATACATAGATTTATATTACGCTGGTGCTGTAAGTATGATAAAATGTGATTCTTTAAGATTGTGTTTAGTATCATTATAAAACAATGAACTTAATTAACATTACTGGACGTTTAAATTTAGCTTGACTATCTGACCTTAATCCAAAATCTTTGAATCGATCAAAATTTTTGTGGGAATGTATTTTATCATATGTGAATTACAAAATAGGTAGGTACCTAATTATACATTTATGAAATCGTCACTACGAGCTACGCCCAAGAAGTATTTAATGAAGACAATTGAACAGTCATCTGTCTTTAAGAATTTTTATTAGGTCAGCAATGGAAAGATAGGAACACCGATTACATTTATATCACTACCTATTGTTTTATAAATTATTGCCTGAATAAAAAAACTTTTCATAAGCCTACTTGTAAATATTCTTTCGCCTAACTGCCGAACATTATTTAGTCCTAATACGGCAGGCGGTTGGCCAATTCCCATTTTATTGGCTCACTTCCAAAACGTTAGGCTTTTGCAAAAAATGCTACAATTGTAACTACTTCAAAAGCCTCGTAGAACAGCGAAATGTCTCGATGTGAAGCTTGGAGTACTTTGATAACATAATTTCGAAGACACATTTAATAAAAAAGTGCGCCATACTTTTTTACACGTCTTTACGGCATTGTCAACAAACGTAAGTATGAAATACAATTGCTTTACCTTTTTGGCCTTTCGTAGGCTTTTTTACCACTTCGCCGTCAAAGTATCAGATTATCTGTTGTCTGATGTTAAGAGTTTAAAGATATCGATCTCGGTCTTGAGCTCAAGTGTTGTCACTCGATCTTACGTTCTTATCAAGCTAGAGAGCAGGGGATGCAAGTCTGAAAGAACTTTATTGAACTTTTTACATAGAAGAGACGCATTTAAAGCAACTTACTGGACTATTAGCTTTGATGCCAAGGCAAAGTGACCGTCGTAGGTGCAATAAGCCTATCAATTCAGAGAAGATCTAAAGAAACATTACAGTAATTGCTTAACCTTGATCTATAAATTATTGCACTTCAAGAAGTTTTTGCGTGGTTCGTCATTATCATTATGAGAAGCATTCAGTAGTCTGATGACCTCATATACATGCATATACTCATCGGCTGTGTGAAGATATTATTAAAGTTAATCACTTTAATTACAGTTACTGTAACAATACACAATGGCGAATACTTTGCAGAAGTTCTCATGAGTTTTTTGCTCCCGCACCCAAGATACTAAGAAAGGCGACAAATAAAGGAAATATCAAAATATTGTGTCCCAATGATTCATCCTTAAATTTAAATAAGTTATAATTTACCTAATTAAAATCCTACTCACACTTAAGATATAGGTAGTAAATTTAGCAATTTCCTCGAAATATATTTCCTCTTGAGCTCATGATATGAAAATAGACCCATTTCGCACTTATTTCGGTTCAACAAGGAAAAATAATGAACAAGTCTACAACAGTCCATTCAAATAACGACACTCGTTGACGGATCCATTCAATTATTCAATCTAATTTCTTGTATAGCGTGTCTATGCTACTTTTGTCATATCCTGGATTAACATCCATCCAAATTGATAAAGTGGCAATTTATCTAAAAACAACTTTTCAAACAGCACAAAGTATTTTAATTTCGGGACACGCTCTCACATATGGTACCTATGTGATTTTTTTAGCATATCCACCCGTATTCTTTCGTCAATCTTTTACTCATTATTTATCATATAATGCAGCGGTAAACGTAGCGGTTTGTGGTAGATTTGTGACCACTTCTTGCCATTTATCACCGTAATGAGTTGTCATTACCACTACCGTAAAAGATAGCAGTATAGCTTAGGGATGGGAAACTTTTCATATGAGATAACCTGCAAGCTAAATTTAATGTTAGTGTGTGGTGTAAAGAACTGTGTAGAAAGACCATCAAGAATAGATAATCAAAATGGATTCGTCCTTTGAAGATGTCCTATAAAAACATTGGAATAGGTTTACTAAAGATCCGGAAAAATGTGTGCAGTTTTCTGATATTTTAATAATAATTTTCATTACAAAATTACAAAAGAGGAGCACCCAGTTATTATTTTTAGTTAAACACAATTTGGTAACCAGTAACTTTTTTATTATTCTAAAATATTCCGTCAAGTTAGCGGAAATTTCGCAATATGTCCACAATATCCAGTATCTGGCAATTTCCACCCTTTTCTTGTGACTTTATATTAACTTAGTTTATTCTTCAACCTCGCGATGACTGACGCCAGTTTAGCATAACTGCATTTTCTCTGCCTCGTATAATTTTCATAATATCGTAACTTGTTAAAGAGGTGTGCCAGCCAAGTAGCTAGAAAAAAAAGATGGATGACGGCATTTATGACAGTAGTGCAGCTGTGGGTAACATTATGAGGCACTTAATGTAAATGTTGCCATGTGCTTGATTTTAGTAGTGTGTGATAATATTTCGAATAGGTCTTGTTTTTAAGACTTTAGTGTTGAAGAGATTTTTTAACATTAATGCTAAAAAATGAACAACAAAACGGTTTTTTAAGCCTATCCGAATTAAGGAGATCTCATCGTGTTTT